AGGGGACCAGCAATCCTGGAAAATGATTAATTTCAATGCATTCCGTGGGATTTATTAATCTACAGCGATCTAAATATGTCAGAGTGTTATTCTGTGCACACAGCGTTGGTGGGCTTGGGGAAGGGTCCGTGGGCATTTAAAGGATGAGCAGCGAGGAGAGCGGGGTTGAGATGTTACTGATTTATTTAGGGTAAAGGAGGATGGACGTAGAAGGGCGTGAAGGGTTAAGAGTGGCATTGATGGCAATAAAATGGCTGGGATAGAATGTTCTCCAGCTCACAAAGAGTTACGAGGCGAGTAAGTGTGTTTATTTTAATAAATGTGTGCGGCTGGTATACGGAGGGACTTGGCTCATTGTGATTCCTCTGCTGTTTCTGCTTGGGTTACTTTCCAATCTGTTTCCTGCATTAGGAGCTCTGCGGAGAGACAGAGGGCTGCCTGGAAAGAAACGGCATGAAAACAGACAGAAGGAGAGAGAGACAGAGAGAGAGAGGATAAAAGGGAGAGAGAGACAGACAGAGAGAGGATAAAAGGGAGAGAGAGACAGACAGAGAGAGGATAAAAGGGAGAGAGAGACAGACAGAGAGAGGATAAAAGGGAGAGAGAGACAGACAGAGAGAGAGGATAAAGGGGAGAGAGAGACAGACAGAGAGAGGATAAAAGGGAGAGAAACAGACAGAGGGAGAGAAACAGGGGAGAGAGAGACAGAGGATAAAAGGGAGAGAGAGACAGAGAGAGAGGATACAAGGGAGAGAGTGAATAAAAGGGAGAGAGAGAATGAGAGGAAGGGGAGAAAGAGACAGAGAGAGAGGATAAAAGGGAGAGAGAGAGACAGATCGCTGCGTGGAAAGAAACAACATGAAAACAGACAGAAAGAAAGAGAGATAGAGGGGGACAGAGAGAGAGACAGAAAGAGAGGCTAAAAGAGAGAGACAGAGAGAGATGATAAAAGGGAGAGAGAGAGGGTAAAGGGAAAGAGAGACAGAGAGAGAGAAGATAAAAGGGAGAGAGAGCATAAAGGGGATAAAAAGGAGAGAGAGACAGAGAGGATAAAGGGAGAGAGAGACAAAGAGAGAGGATAAAGGGAAAGAGAGACAGAGAGAGGATACAAGGGAGAGAGAGAGAGGATAAAGGGAGAGAGAGACAGAGGATAAAAAGGAGAGAGAGACAGAGAGGATTAAGGGAGAGAGACAGAGAGGATAAAGGGAGAGAGAGACAAAGAGGATAAAGGGAGAGAGAGACAAAGAGGATAAAAGGGAGAGAGAGACAGAGAGGATAAAGGGAGAGAGAGACTGAAAGGATAAAAGGGAGAGAGAGACAGAGAGAGGATAAAGGGAGAGAGAGACGGAGAGGATAAAAGGGAGATAGAGACAGAGAGAGGATAAAGGGAGAGAGAGACAGAGGATAAAAGGGAGGGAGAGAGAGAGTATAAAGGGAGAGAGAGAGAGGATAAAGGGAGAGAGAGACAGAGAGGATAAAAGGGAGAGAGAGAGAGAGAGAGGATAAAGGGAGAGAGAGAGAGAGAGGGCTGCATGGAAAGAAACGGCATGAAAACAGACAGCAGGATACACAGAAAGAGAGACAGACAGAGAAAGAGGATAAAAGGGAGAAAGAGAGGATAAAAGAAGGGAGAGAGATAAAAGGAGGTACAGAGAGAGAAAGAGAGGAGAGACGTAGATCAAGAATAAGAAGGAAAGAGAGAAAGAGAATGATAAAAAAGAGAGAAATATAGCGGAATGAGCCTTGGGTCGTCACCCTTATTTCTGCTATAGACTGTCCGTATCTTTTTGTCTCCTATGTTTTGTGCTTATAGTCCATGTGTGGGACAGATCCCCCGTCTTTGGATTACCTTGCTTTTTACCCTGTTCGCCTGGCTGTTCGGGAAATACCATTCACCACACATGCTAACAATATCTTGTTCGACTACCGAACGCCAACCCACCAAAATGTGGAGTGTGCCATTCGTTAACCCCAGTAACCCGTGTTCACACCTCCACAAACTGCAACAACACAAACATTCTAAGCAGTCGGCTGGGTGGCCGCCGTTCGTATGTGCGAACACGTGGCGGTCATCTTTAGCCACGAACAGAGACAGTGGTGTTTGGTTGTCGAGTGTATGGAACTAAAATCGGACGCTCGACTGCACGAACACCGCTGGGACTTCCACCTTCAGTTATGTTCGTGGGGATTCAGACAAACAAAGTGGCTTTCAGGGGGAGCAAACTCCCAAACAAGAGACAAAGAACAAATGTATGCACGAACAGTTTATGCGTTGGTTTTCATATATTTGATACTCCCGATGGTTTCATGGAACCTGTGGCGGAACCAGCCTTGCCACTGGGCATTGGAGAAGACTGATTGCCAGCCTCCTGCCCTGTGACTATGGCCCATGTTGAAATGCTTGATTTTCCCCTGCAAAGACCTGAAAGCCGGGTCATTCTGTACTTTCCCTATGTGAGCAGTGTTACCCCAGATAGCTATGCCATGGAGCCCATTCGTATAACGAAAGACTTTGTGAAAGACTTTGGCTCCATGGCAATTGAACTGTATGTGTGTGCTCTGAGCGCCATTCAGTAATAATGTGCGCTCAGATCTGAGCTATCTGGGGATATGTTGAATGTACCCGTTTTATGCAATAACTGCACAGTTATATATTATTTTTATGCATTTTATTGTATTGTGCTACCATGTGGCTAATGGAGTTTTGCCTCTGTCCTTGGAGATAATTTGATTACTTCCCAATTATCTCCAGGATCGAAGACTCTGTGGAACTGGTTTTGGGCAGAAAAGCCATGCTTCATTTGGTCACAAAGGGACTTTCAACTAACTTTTGACCCACTGGACCAATTTGTATGATTTTGACGTATGTTTGTATTTGGAGTATGTGAATGTGATGTATACTTTTAGAGTTATGAATATTGTGTAAAACTGTGTATTTTCCTGCCTGTGATAATTAAGTTAGACCATTGTGTTCAGTAATTATATCACAGGCAGAGGGGAGGATTTTGTGTGGGAGTGTCTGAGTGTATTGTACGTATTGATTGGTTGTTCTGCAAAACCCTGTGGGCAGTACTATGTGTGTAGAATGTGAATAAAAGAAGCTGTATGTGCCAGTACAGACAGTTCTACTTCACCCTCAATCTGAGTCCTGTCTCTTATTGGGGGAATCTGCTACAAGGGATTGCTATGCTCTGCATATTCCCTTGCTATAATCACTGAGCTCTTGTAAGAGCTTGTTCCTGTCTTGCTCTCTGAAGGAGTCTACGGTGGTTATGGTGTCGGCTGGAGTGCTTGGAGCCCTCAGGAAGCGCTAGGAGCATCCTTCAACGGAGGTACCCAGTCGGGGTGCCAGGTGATCCATTATAGAACCTTTTTGGGCAGGCGCCTCATGTACGGTGCTCTAAACTATACTCCGGTGGCGTTTCGGCTGCGTTCGTGGAATCTGAGCGCTTTTCGGATATGTTGGGCGCTCAGATCCAGGCTATCCAGGGATATAGGACTTCAGGGGATATCTTATGTGGAACTGTATGTTTTGGGGTGATTATTATTGTACATGTACTGGACCTGAGAGTTAATGTTATTATGTTGTGTATTGTGTCTCAGTCTACTCTCAGGTCCAGTGGGGAATGCCCCTTGCATGGGGATTCACATAAAAGGCTGTGTCTGGCTACATTAAAAGGAGTTATACCCCCAGAGCTGAGTGTCGTCCAGTTGCTGGGGAGGAGGTGGGAAATTCCTGGATTATGTGTTTGGTTGTTCCCTTGGAATATTCTACTTGTTCCTGAGTGTATGTTGGAGAAACCAGCGGAGGAGAGTCCCTGCTAGGACTAGAGCTCCGCTAAAAGAAGTCTCTAGAGAAAGAAACCACAAACAATATAAGAAACAGGAGACACATGCAATAATTGGACAGATGTATTGGAGCAGATAGAAACAGAGACAGTCAGTGAGAGAGAGATAAATTAATAAAAACTTAGAATAATTTAGATGGGAGTGAGAGGTTGTGACGGACCGCTGGCACTCCGACTGAGTACCTCCGCCAATCGATGCTCCTAGTGCTCGCTGAGGACTCCAAGCACTCCAACCGACACCATCAGCACTGCAGACCCCACTTCCAGCGATGCAACTGCGCCGGGGTCTCTGCTGTTTCCACCCACACTGGACCCAAGGCCAGGATCCAGCTTCCAGTGGGTGAACCTCTCTTTCCCCAGAGAGCAGGAACAGGAACAAATCAAGCTATTGTAAGAGCTTCCTCTGGGGAGTAAGTGATTATAGCAATCCCCAGAGTGTAGGTATCCCTTCCCCCAAACATGAGCCAAGGCTTAATGCTGGAACAAGACTGATTTACTGGCACACAGAACTCACAATTTATGCAACACAAAACTCCTCCTCTGGGCCAGGCTAGATAATTGAGTTTCTGCAATACACAAAGCTCAATTATCTGCTGGCCAGAAATTATACAGTTTCATAAAACACGCACCCCAAAACATGCAATAACACCATAAAAAGTATATCCTTGGAACCGGGGGATCTGGTTGAACCACATATCCAAAATTCACCCAGATCCATTCAGTACTTTGGAAAATACAGTTTAATGCAGATTCTGCAAAACATATACAGGCTAAATGAAAAACAATCACTGTATAATGTGCCCCCTGCTGTATAGTCCAAAACCACTGCACGATGTCTCTGTGCACCAAATACTGGCGAGATGGCACCGTGTTGAAAAGTCCAACAGTGTCTGTGAGTTAAAATGGCCGCCATCCATTGTTCTCACCATGTGCTTCTGATACAGGAAATGGTGGCCACCCAGTAACTCCACAGTATGTCCCCAGATGGTTCTTAAAGGGTCAGCAGCAGCACAACACAAATCCATTCTGCCCAAATCATGTCTTTAAAGGGCAATACATCCCAGGGGCCATAGTCACAGGGCAAGAGGCGGGCAAGCAGTCCTCTCCAGGCACAAGTGGCGAAGGGCACTTCGTCACAGAGGTATATAGTACTGGATGGTGAGAACAGATGGGGCTGTATTGTATTTGGGGAGATCAGGTAGGGCTGTATTGTATTTGGTGAGATCGGGTAGGGCTGTATTGTAGTTGGTGAGATCGGGTAGGGCTGTATTGTAGTTGGTGAGATCAGGTAGGGCTGTATTGTAGTTGGTGAGATCAGGTAGGGCTGTATTGTAGTTGGTGAGATCGGGTAGGGCTGTATTGTAGTTGGTGAGATTGGGTAGGGCTGTATTGTAGTTGGTGAGATCGGGTAGGGCTGTATTGTATTTGGTGAGATCAGGTAGGGCTGTATTGTAGTTGGTGAGATCAGGTAGGGCTGTATTGTAGTTGGTGAGATCGGGTAGGGCTGTATTGTATTTGGTGAGATCGGGTAGGGCTGTATTGTATTTGGTGAGATCGGGTAGGGCTGTATTGTAGTTGGTGAGATCAGGTAGGGCTGTATTGTAGTTGGTGAGATTGGGTAGGGCTGTATTGTAGTTGGTGAGATCAGGTAGGGCTGTATTGCATTTGGTGAGATCGGGTAGGGCTGTATTGTATTTGGTGAGATCGGGTAGGGCTGTATTGTAGTTGGTGAGATCAGGTAGGGCTGTATTGTAGTTGGTGAGAACGGGTACGGCTGTATTGTATTTGGTGAGATTGGGTAGGGCTGTATTGTAGTTGGTGAGATCGGGTAGGGCTGTGTTATAGTTGGTGAGATCAGGTAGAGCTGTATTGTGGTTGGTGAGATCGGGTAGGGCTGTATTGTAGTTGGTGAGATCGGGTAGGGCTGTATTGTAGTTGGTGAGATCAGGTAGGGCTGTATTGTGGTTGGTGAGATCGGGTAGGGCTGTATTGTAGTAGGTGAGATCGGGTAGGGCTGTATTGTATTTGGTGAGATCGGGTAGAGTTGTATTGTGGTTGGTGAGAACAGGTAGGGCTGTATTGTAGTTGGTGAGATCAGGTAGGGCTGTATTGTGATTGGTGAGAACGGGTAGGGCTGTATTTTAGTTGGTGAGATCAGGTAGGGCTGTATTGTGATTGGTGAGAACGGGTAGGGCTGTATTGTAGTTGGTGAGATCAGGTAGGTGTAACGGACCGTTTTGCACACAAGAGGTTAAAAACCATTTAGGCGATATTCCCCTTTTCAGATGCACAGACAGCTACTGCAATCACCAATCTCCCGAACTGCAAACACATGAATTCACCAATCTCCCGAACTGCAAACACATGAATTCACCAATCTCCCGAACTGGAACCAGGGGAATGCTCCAAACTCCCGAACAGGAAACACACGAATGCTGTAAACAGCCAAACAGGAAAAACCATACCAACAGTTTACACTCCTGGCAGTCGCACTGTAACAGCATACAATCCAATTCCCCCCAAGAACGAGACGACACTTCGTTTGAGGATCAAGCAGAACTGATTTACTGGGGCTACCTGCCCGGCTTTTATGCAGGTCTCCCACCTGGTGGACACTCCCTTAGGGGACCAGATGGAAGACTGGGAAACATATTGGACATTCCAAAAAAGGAAGGACGGCACCTTCAGCTCCCTGTAACACACACTGCCGCTGGGGAGGAAGGACGGCACCTTCAGCTCCCTGTAACTTACTCGGCTGCTGGGGAGGAAGGACGACACCTTCAGCTCCCTGAAACACACACTGCCGCTGGAGAGGACGGACGGCCCACCCCCTTGCCCGCTCTGATTCCACCGGCAAGTACTCTCCCACTATTTTCCTCACAAACTGTACGGTTTTCTCTGGGGGGTTGGGTCCGTAGAAAGCCAGCAGCGCGGTAACCTCTCTGTCAAACGCCTGTGTAGTTGGGCGCCATGCTTGCTCTGCTGCAGTTGCTTCTTTTGTAGATAGGGTCGCTGTACGGGTACTAGCTTTGCCCTCAATTTGTAATCCAGGAACTGGTGTTATCTTGTAGCTGTCCTTCTGGGCTGTGAAAATGATCCCGTCGCTTGCCACCAATTGTAACGGACAGTTTTGCATACAAGAGGTTAAAAACCTGTTTAGGCGATATTCCCCTTTCCAGATGCAAACTACACGAATTCACCAACTTCCGAACAGGAAACACACGACTACTGGAAACAGCCGAACAGGCCCCAGGGAGAGTGCGCAGCTTAGCGGACAGGGGCACATGTATGAGTGTGGGATGGATGATGCATGATTGGGTATATGCTACATGTGGGAGTGTGAGATATGAGGAAGTGGGTGGTGACAGATCAGACTGACCTCAGTGCCACTTAGGAGCCGGGCCAGCAACAAGTTTCCCACCCACCCTCCCTTTGCTGTTTTGGGCCCGGGGGGGAGTGGGGGGGGGTTGTCACAGCGAGGCGGGGGTCTGTCCTAGCCAAATAAGGGATGGTTTGGTAGATTAGATGAAAAAGGGGGATAATGGCCGGGTCTCATCCGTCCTCTGTCTCTTATGGTGAACCTGGAGGAGGTACCAGGTTGGACGTGTCCCCACTGGGTTGTAAGTCGACCAGTGGGGAGCATTATGGTTGGGCCCCACCGAGTTGGTGGGGAGCCCTGAAAAGGAAGATGTTTTTATTATGCCGAGGAGGGGAGGTGAGAGCCTTGGGGAAGTTAGATTGGCAAGGACTGTTTCTTTGGTTACTGTATGACTATATGCAAATAGTTTATGTTAATTTATGATATTTATTATTTCGTTATATGTTAAAGGAGTCATACAGTATTTGGTTGTGTTAATAAATGCTGTGGCCTGTTTTCTAAAAGAAGTTGTCTGTCGTTATTTGAAGGGGTAAGTTATGGTTTTATGGGGGATGAAGGGAATGCTATCCAATGCCCACTACGTACATACAAGGAAAAGCATACAATCAGCTTACACTCCTGGCAATCAGCATACAATCTAATTCCCCCAATAATGAGACGACACTTCGTTTTGAGGGTCAAGCAGGAACTGATTTACTGGTGCTACCTGCCCGGCTTTTACGCAGGTCTCCCACCTGGTGGACACTCCCCTAGGGGACCAGATGAAAACTGGGAAACATATTGGACATTGACCAATCACAGACACTCCCACAATGCATCACAATCCCTCCTCTCTGTCCTGGAGGTAATTAGGAAGTAATCCAATTATTATCTCCAAGGACAGAGGCAAAACTCCATTAGCCACATGGCAGACAAAGGACAGTAAAAGACATAAAATTACATACTGTTACATTTATCACGTAGAACATACACATTCTACCTATCCCCAGATAGCTTAGATCTGAGCGCACAATGTTACCGGATGGCGCTCAGATCACGTACATACAGTTCAATCGCCATGGAGCCAAAGTCTTTCAGTATACGGCTGTGCTCCATGGCATAGCTATCTGGGGTAGCATGGCTTTAACAGTCTGCAGAAAGGCACAAATACGCTTTTCTGCAGGGAAAATAAAAGGTTTTAACTGCCGGCCCATAGTCTAAAGGGAGCAGGCGAGCAACCAGGCTCCTCCAGTGGACAGTGGCGAGGTTGGTTTCGCCACAAGGGGTATATTGTAGTTGGTGTGTGAGGGGGTGTATTGTAGTTGTAATGTTAGGGGATATATGTTTTAGTTGGTAGATGAGGGGTTATTGTAGTTGATAGCTGAAGTAGGTACATTGTAGCTGGTATGTGAGGGGTGTATTTTAGTTGTAAGGTAAGGAGGTATATTGTGGTTAGCAGGTGGGGGGGTTATTGTGTAGATGGTAGGAGAGAGGGCTTCATATCATATTTGGTAGAAGTAAGAGTGAGAGACAAGGGTTATAATTGGTAAGTAAGGGAGATGGATGACCTATCCTGTGACCTACGATGATGGTACTGGAGTTTTGATATATTAAGGTGTAATTATTGGGTACATTTCTACAAATGGAGCACAGAATATTTCATAGGTTTCCATGGCAATTAGTGAACCTTCTGTACTTTTCCCCACAATTGTTTTTAAGAAATAACCCACAATTTCTCCAAAGATTGAACCAGCGCTCAGTGAATGCTGGAGTAAACATGTTAATAGCACATGGAGAACGCTCACACAGATACTGGATGGGGTCACCTTGACGTATTATTTGGAGGTCAGCCCACCGTATCACAATGAGCTGTGTTTTACCAAGTGCCGTTAATATTGTGTTCTGTTATCCATGGAAAGATAATCCTTACATTGTTATTTATCTCGGAAAATCCCAATACAAGGATAAAATAAATGTTCACTATAGTGAGGGGAGAAAAGGGGCATCACTGAGGGTGAAAGGAGACAAGAAGGTGAAACCAAATGGACGACAGATAATAAAATGTGAAACCATGTAAAATGAAGAAAGTCGTGTGAGAAGTGGTTAGGATAACCTTGCGATGTTATGATGAGGGTTAATGTGAGGTGGAGTGAGGATATTTTATGGTGTTAATTTGAGGTGGGGTGAGGGTGTTTAGTGTAGTTAGTGTGAGGTTGAGTGAGGGTATTTAGTGTAGTTAATGTGAGGGTATTTAGTGTAGTTAATGTGAGATGGAGTGAGTGTGTATTGCGGTGTTAGTGTGAGGTGGAGTGAGGGTATTTAGTGTAGTTAATGTGAGGTTGAGTGAGGGTATTTAGTGTGGTTAATGTGAGTTTGAGTGAGGGTATTTAGTGTAGTTAATGTGAGGTTGAGTGAGGGTATTTAGTGTAGTTAATGTGAGGTGGAGTGAGGGTATATAGTGTAGTTAATATGAGGTGGAGTGAGGGTATTTAGTGTAGTTAATGTGAAGTGGAGTGAGGGTATTTAGTGTGGTTAATGTGAAGTGGAGTGAGGGTATCCAGTGTAGTGAGGTGGAGTGAGGGTACTTTATGGAGTTAGTGTGAGGTGGGATGAGAGTATTTTGTTACGTTGCTGTGAGGGAGCAGGTTAAAAGAAAATGTTTTAGGAGTATTTGCTAAGCAGTAAGTTGTGGAAATTTGAGATCTTCAAAATTTACACCAAAACAGGCAAGATGAAAAATAAAGGAGTGAATTTGACCATGTTTTTAGCTTAGCTATTTTAATCCAAATCTGGCTGCTTTAACCCCAGTTCACGGTTTAGTCGGTCACCCTTGTTATGGTCTGGTAATTGTGGCTATTTTAGTACCTCTTGCATTTGTGCTGCTGTAATTGTCCTCCTTTTTATTTCCGTCAAACTAATTATGATTCATCCTGAATAGGTGTGTGACTATTAATGAGCGGATCTAGATATTTCTATAAATTATGATCACATTTATAATGTGCAGGCTTCCCACATAGCATCAAACTCCCCTGCACAGCCGTTCAGCAACCCACAAAGGGTTAAATAACACTGCACATATCTAACGTTCTCACAAAGGGTTAAATAACCCTGCACATATCTAACGTTCTCACAAAGGGTTAAATAACACTGCACATATCTAACGTTCTCATAAAGGGTTAAATAACCCTGCACATATCTAACGTTCTCACAAAGGGTTAAATAATCGTAAGCACTTTTAACGTCCCACATGGGGTTAAACAACCCTGCGCCCCTTTAGGCTTTCCACGTAGAGTTAAAGCCCGGTGCACCCCCTGTTCATGTCTCCCTGATGCCTTATTCCTGGCAGTGCAGAGAATTTGTGATGTTTAACATTGCCATGGTGGTGTATTGATTTCTGCCCTGCTGAAATACTGCAATGTGTGTGATTTATATCTCACCGTCCCGCATTCCCTGCGAAATTCTGATTAATCTGTTACAATGTGTCTCCCGTGTAACCAGCACTGATCATAGAGAATCACTCAACCCTTATTAGGGATCTACCAATAATACCCGTTAGCGATCTACCTATAATACTCATTAGTGATGTACCAATAATACTCGTAAGTGATCTACGAATAATACTCGTTAGCGATCTACCAATAATACTCGTCAGTGATCTACCAATAATACTCATTAGTGGTGTATCAATAATACTCGTTAGTGATCTACGAATAATATTTGTTAGTGATCTACCAATAATACTCGTT